GTGTGCGTGTGGGTGTGTATGTGGTTCTTTAGCTGAGCAGCTCTCAGGATTGTGAAGGCACTTTTCCTTTCCTGGTTTCCTCTCTCTCCAATCAGCCAATCAGAGTCCCATTCCCGGCACTTGTAAACTGTAATGACAGGCTGTTAACACAGAGCAGCACGACACTTTGTAAGCCCATTATTCAAATGAGCAGCTAGGAGCAAAACTATGCAGTGTTAAAGAGGCTTTAAAACAAACTTAACATTAAAAAACTAACTAGAAGGAGAACTTCCAAAACCACTGACTATGGCCTCTCGTGTCCCATCGGCCCGTGGTCAGTGATGTGGGTCTGCGCGGTAACGAACTGAACACCCGGTGGGGCTATTTTGAGGTTGGATATTCTTAAAACTTCTCCATGAAATTCAACACCCTGGCAGTACGATTCCGATTATATGTACATCTCACAGTTAGTTTTTTTGTTGTCATAGCATCAAAGTCATAACAGAAGTTATCTCAGGACACTTCATACAGAGCAGGTCTTATGACTGTACCTTGGGCTTCTAAAATCATTGAGATTTCAACTGAATGTGAAAGACTTGAGATCACAGTTTCTTCCTCTATTAGGTTGATAAAAGTGGTGATTCTCAATACTCTTGGTACCATGTGTGTGTCCAACAATACAATACTATTAGTCATAGTATCCAAATACCGAAGCTTAAAGAAGAACACATCTAGATTTCGAGGTTTACCATGATCAGAATAAGGCGGAATACACTCCAACACACACACACACTGAGTGCATACTATTGAAGCCATGAGGATATTTAAATCACTCAAATTCATTTCTCACCAACCTGTAACCTTCAATCCTCCACAGTAAGCATTTGTGTTAAGTTCAACACACACACACACACTCATGAGCAAGTATATTCACATGACACTGACAGCAGTGATAATGGAGACATTGTTACAGTGAGTGCCGGGAAAACCCTATGGGGGATGGTCAACATTCCTTTAAGATTCCTTTTTGGTGATGATGTGTTTGTTTCTATTTATTGTTGTGCATCCCAAAGGCTCTGGTAGACCTTTCCGTGGCCGGATGAAGTTGACAAACAAGTTGACACAAGTCTTCAGAGGGATTTCCATTAAATTATGTTAGTTATTTAATTTTAAAAAAAGGTTTCTTGTCTCTTAAAGCCCCCTCTGTTCATAAATTCATTGCTGGACAAATTCTAGAGTTGTGTTGCCTCTAAAACATGAATCCACCGTGATGTCCAGAAATATTTTGTGTTATCTATGTTATCGAGGTTAGAAGTATAAGGTTTGGCTGATCTGTCTCTGATTGTTGAGCTTTTCCTCAGAGGGCAGTGATAAAACAAACATGCAATAACAATGCATCCTCAGTTGTCCTGCTTAAAGGGGGGATGTCCGTCTTATCCTTTAGTCAAGTCCCTAAAGCTGCAGTAGGTAACTTATATGAAATAACTTTCATAATAACATTTTCTGAAACGTTCACTATATCCTGACAGTAGTACATGAGATGGATAATCTGTGAAAAAAGCAGGTTCGTCTGTCACCTCCTAGCTGGACGATAACAACAAATCAGAGCAGAGAAAGATAGTCGTTTGACACATTCCTCAACAGTTAACTTTGAGCAAGCCGCCAACCTAAAGCGTCATTATTTTACAACCTGGGAATGAGACTTCACAAACGACTGTCTTTCTCTTAAAGTACTAGGAGGAGCCAGAGGAGTCTAGTGACAGTTTCAGCAAATATTTAATATAATAATATTTCTTAAAAGTTTATCTGTGTATGGCAGTCACTTCTCATTGAAGAAGTTCAAACAAACATGGGCAAACAGCCAACGGATCCTTGTGACCACACAATGACAGGCAGGTCATTCTTTTGGGTTTTATGTTTCCATTTCCTATAATTTCCAGCCACAGACATGGGAAACCATCCAGACCAAGTTAATTTTAGACCCATTAATAAAAAAGAAAGATGTGACTGTTCTTCCCCTTTCTTCCTATATGACATGAACAGAAATTACTTTCTTTGTGTGTTCTTGTATGTGGAGCAGGAATGCACTGATACCACTTTTTTCAGACCAAAGTACAAGTACTTATATTTGGGTCCTTGCCAAGTACTGATATAATAATATCATTACAGTTCTAATTATGATTTTAAGAACATGTTTTATTTTCATCAAATGTTTCTTACTTTCTGACCTTAACAAATTAAATGTTGCTAATGTTGTAAAAGTTGCTTAAAATATCTCCAAACTACTGCTTACATTGCTTCTCCTCCCCCTACCTGCTCAGCTAACAAGAGGTTACGTAACATCATGCTGCCATAAAGTGGTATCGGGGTGGATTTATGATTACTATTGAGCCTTCCTAAGCCCCGCCCCTTTTGGAACCTCAACTTTTTCCTTTCCTGTACTGGCTAGTCTATGTTTTACATTTTGACGCTAGCTAATATTCTTCAATTAACATTAGCTCTCAGATATAACAAGCTGGCTAACAATGAATGTAGATAATAATGCTAATTACCTAGCATCTTGCTAACATTAGCAATGTTAAAATGTGACTATATATGTGACTTTTATCTTTTAACCATCTTCAAAATGTGTGTGTTTTTTTTTTTAAATAGATTAGCCTAGCACATAGCATATCTGAGTACAGGAAAGGAGAAAGTTGACTGAGGTTTGCACAACTGTTATTAGAGCACAGAGCATAAAGGGGTGGAAGGGTCAATTAAGCCTGTAAGGTCGTAAGGTTGTATGGTCAATTACGAGTACATGAGCATAGTATTGGTTCTGATACTGTTATTGATATCAGTGCATCCTTAGTGTTATCTTTAGCATTAAATATGACAAACAGCTTACACTGGAGAACAATACAACAGCAAATAAAGTTTTTCATGGATGTTTTATCATCCGTAACGCTTCAGAAGCAGATTTGCCTTAACTCCTAAGTGAAATGAATGTAATTCCTGTGTTATTTTAAGCAACAATAAGACTTAAATAAGTATAAGTTGTGGACAGTTGGAGTGAACATTACTAGCAACAGATTGAGTCATGTCATTCACTTATTTATTTTTTTGCCTCCCATGCCTTTCCACAGCACTAAAAATGTCCCATTGGACAATATGATAAATAAACACTCCCATCCTAACTGCCTTAAGATAATGGGAATGAATTCCTAAGGCCATCTTCTGCAAACCAGACAATGTGCTCTTCAAAACAAAGCATCCAGAGACTCGATGTACAGCATGCAAGACTGTAACTCCCTCTAATCACGTGTTTGTGTGACTTTTGTTTACCCTTGGGTGTCCTTTGAATTTACAACGTTGTCGTTTTATTTGTCAATACTTAAAAGTGTCCCCAGGTTTAGTGCTGCATGTGCTACAGCTAGTAGCGTGTCATGCTGAACATGTGCGTGTGTATTCGAGTATATGACATAGCTAGGTCTATTTGTGTGAGATCTGGAGCACCTTAAATGTTCGCACAAAAAACGAGAGCTCTCTCACATCCAGTACGTGTACATGCATGCACTTTTTTTTTTTCTTTTCCAAAAAGGTTTTTTTAACTTATGCTGCCGTGATTCTGTTGTACTTCATCTTGTATTATTATTTTGTCAAACTGTGTATTGCCTGTTTCCTAATCATGCTGAATGACTGAAATGTTCGGGATTTAATAAAAAGTCACATTTATTTGACTTCTTTTCATTTCCGCAACTACTCTTGTCATTGGAAGCTGTCTGAAAAGCCACCACGACAAAAGGCTGAAGCCATTGCAGAAGTGTCTTTAATGTGCAGTTCCTCTAAATGGTTACCAAATGCAACATGAAACTATTCATTCTTTCCATCTATATTACTCAATATTGTTGTCAGGACTTAACAGTCATTGTTCCATTACAAAGACACTGAACCTTAAAGTGAAGTGTGCTTGGTGGGTGACTGGTGGCATTGCCAGTGGACATCTAACAAAAACAACACCAACATCAATGGTTTTCAACATGGAAAAATTAATCAATAATGACAGACATTCTCTGTTTTTTTTTGTTTGCATTGAAAATGTTTTCAGATTTTAAAGAACAAAAAGAATATTTGTAGAACTCCAATTTGTAGAAGTTTTGTGGCTGCATCTGTTTATATATGTTATTATTGCAATAAAAAAACACATTTATTGTGGTGAATTTCCATTATCAGGATTATCGTGAATAACCTCACACGGTTTAATTAATTTCCTGATCTGATCTAATCCTGTCACCAAGGCAGGAGGCTCTATTTGCCCGTTGTATTCCCCTGCACAAAATAGTGGATATGTGGAAATAAATATATGTGTTTCCTAATAAAATGTAAGGTAAAGTGATTCTGGTATGTTTTAGTACTATTTTAAAAGTATGAAGAATATTTTCAT